GTAAATTCCAAGGAGTGGGATGGCTGGGTTGTATAGCAGGGTTATATTCAGGTTTCTGAGGAATCTCCAGACTGACTTCCATAGTGGCTTAACCCTTTTTTCCCACATCCTCGCCAGCATCTGTTGTTGGTAGATTTCTGCATGTGAGCCATTCTAACTGGGGTGAGGTGAAACATCATTGTGGTTTTGATTTGCATTTCCCTGATTGCTAGTGATCCTGAGCATTTTTTCATGTGTCTGTTGGCCATTTGGATTTCCTCTTTTGAAAAATGTCTATTGAGGTCCTTGGCCCATCTCTTAAGTGGGTTGTTTGTTTTGTTGTTGTGGAGTTTCTTGATCTCTTTGTAGATTCTCGTTATTAATCCTTTATCTGTTGTATAGTTTGCAAATATTTTTTCCCATTCTGTTGGTTGTCTCTTCACTCTCCTGACTGTTTCTTTTGCAGTACAGAAACTTCTCCATTTGATGCAATCCCAAATGTTAATTTTGGCTTTGGCTGCCTGTGCCTCTGGTGTCTTATCCAAGAAGTCTTTCCCAGTGCCAATATTTTGCAGGGTTTCTCCAATGTTCTCTAATAATTTGATGGTGTCAGGTCATAGATTTAGGTCTTTAATCCATGTTGAGTAGATTTTTTTTAACTTTTATTTGATGAATATAAATGTTAACCATGGTGATTTGGTGAAGCGTATATTCACAGTGTTATCCTTCAATTCTGGAAATTCTCATTTTGGGAAAAAGAAATGCCAAACTTATGAGCTATTTTGGACGTTCACATTTAACGAATGAATGTTTTTAAAATGAAAATACAGGAGCCTGGTTGTGGCTTAGCAAGTAAATCTGCTGCCTACAGTGCCAGCATCCCAGATGGATGCCAGTTCATTTCCTGGCTGCTCCACTTCTGATCCAGCTCTCTGCTGTGGCCTGGGAAAGCAGTAGAAGATGGCCCAAGTGCTTGGGCCTCTGCACCTGCGTGGGAGACCAGGAAGAAGCTCCTGGCTCCTGGCTTTTAAACTTGGCCCAGCTCCAGTGTTTGTGGACATTTGGGGAGTGAACCAGCAGGTAGAAGACACCTCTCTCTCTCTCTCTCTCTCTCTCTCCCCCACCATGCCTCTCTGTAATTCTGTCTTTCAAGTCATAAATACATAATTTTTTAAAAGGAGTTGAGTGGTTTAGCTGAGTGGCACAGTTGCACATAGCCATTGCCCTCTGTCTTCACTCTGTTTGCCTGGAGCCTCATGCACTGCGCTGCCAAGTACACTGCATACATCCCTCAGCACAGACGTGGGAATGCGCGCTGCTGTGCTCAGCTCAGCTCAGCGCCTGCAGCGCATGGCCATGGCCTAGGAAGCCTAAATCTGTGTCAGGAGGGTTTTGTAAGAAACTCCTATGAAGCACAGAGCCCACATACAAACCTGAGCTGTTGCAGGTTTTACCTGGGATCTGGGCTATCCGTGATGTTACTCTCCTCACTGCTGCACAATGGGTCATGAGCATGAATGCTGTGGGGAAAGATGGTGTGAATGGTGGAGGGAAGGAGCACACAGTCCCAGAACCAGAACCCGTTCCTTCATCATCACAAGCCTGCGTTCTTCTCATTGCTGTTCTCTTCTCTAAGTCTTTCTGCAAAATAGCAGCCTTGGGAAGAATGAGAGGGTTCTCACTCTTGTGCATAGTGGGGAAAGCAAGGAAATTATTTTCTTCCCATGCATGTACTCAAAAAGTGAACACTGGGGCTGGTGCTGGGGCATAGTGAGTAAAGCCACCGCCTGCAGTCCCGGTATCCCATGTGGGCGCCAGTTCAAGTCCTGGCTGCTCCACTTTCGATCAGCTCTCTGCTATGGCCTCGAAAAGCAGTGGAAAATGGCCCAAGTTCTTGGGCTTCTGCACCCACATGGGAGACCATGAAGAAGCTCCTGGCTCCTGCTTCAGATCGGCGCAGCTCCGGCTGCTGTGGCCAACCGCAGAATGAAGCAGCAGATAGAAGGCCCCCTCTCTCTCCCTCCTCCTCTCCCTCCTCCCTCCTCTCTCCTCCCTCCTCCTCTCCCTCTCCCTCTCCCTCTCCCTCTCCCTCTCCCTCTCCCTCTCCCTCTCCCTCTTCCCTCCTCCCGCCTCCCTCCTCCCCTCCCTCTCCCTCACCTTGTCTCTGTGTGCAATTCTGGCCTTCAAGTAAATAAACAAATCTTTTTTTAAAAAAAAAGTGAACACTGCCAAGTTTCGGTTTTTCTCTAAAGCATTTTCATCTCCAGAAGTGTATGTGCTGAGCCGAAGCTGTAATTCACATGGATTTATTTTTTCAGTGCATTGTGAGTTGTAGCCAAATTATGATCAGTTTAAAACAGCGCGGCTCACTAGGCTAATCCTCCCCCTTGCGGCGCCGGCACACAGGGTTCTAGTCCCGGTTGGGGCAACGGATTCTGTCCGGTTGCCCCTCTTCCAGGCCAGCTCTCTGCTGTGACCAGGGAGTGCAGTGGAGGATGGCCCAAGTCCTTGGGCCCTGCACCCCATGGGAGACCAGGAGAAGCACCTGGCTCCTGGCTTCGGATCAGCGTGATGCATCAGCCGCAGCGCGCTGGCCGCGGCGGCCATTGTAGGGTGAAACAACAGCAAAGGAAGACCTTTCTCTCTGTCTCTCTCTCTCACTGTCCACTCTGCCTGTTAACAAAAAAAAAAAAAAAAGAAAGAAAAAGAAAAAGAAAAAAAAACTACAGTAGCAACAACAGTCGCAACAGGGAAAGGCCAAGCCAGCAGCAAATATTCACATTTCCTACAGAAAGGCTAAATGTGTCCATGTGCGTAAATTTACCTGAGAAAAAGGCGCTTCCTCCACTGAGTGAGAAAACGCTTGTGCTTGCACGACCTAACCTCAGCCTCCCAACGCGCGGGGCCAGGGCAGGCCTCGGTGATGGCTGTCCTGACTGCAAGGAGAAAATCTCACCCCTGACTTGAAAGTCAGCTTGTTATGGTGCACCATAAAACTTTCGGCTCCTGCTGGAGACCCGGCTGTGCCAACCTCGTGCCTGTTGGCACCTTAGCCCGTCTGAGTTAAGTGGCTTGGATAGGCTGCTAGACGCTTAATTGGTCTGAGTTACCCTTAGTAGTCCAATCAAAACTCATGAAGGGGCAGGCAGGAAGGCTGGCGCCCCTTGACCACCTGGGCTGCGTCTGCCTCCAGCTCTGGGTCTCATGCCCCCACCTTCCCTTGGCCGCCTCGCTGAGCAGATTTGTCCGCAGGTGCTTCAGAAGTTGTCTCAAACTTCCACAGCACTGTCCGGGCTTAGGGAGCACAGCAACACATGCGGAACACACAGGCCTCTTCCCTCTCAGCCAAGGGCCAGCTAGAATGCCTGGTTCAGCTCCTGGGAACTGGAGGAACTCATAAACTGCTGAGCCACTGTTTCTTCCTCTGTGAGATGAGGCAGAATATTCGTTCTGTGAGCAAGCATCTCCAAGGTGTTTTAAGGACGCCTCCTTCTCTTTCTCTCCCTTTCCTCCCTCTGTCTCCCTCTGTCCGTCCATCCCTCCCTCCCTGCCTTCCTTCCTCCCTCTGCACTAGGTCTGGCTCTGAATACTAATTGGTACTGCAGCTCAAACATGAGTTTCTCTGTGATCTCCCAGACGGGGCCTGTGTTTTCTCCATTGCTAGCTATCCTCGGTGCCAGCTGTCTGACCAACACTCAACCTCAAAATTCCCTTGCTTCTCTCTTGCCAGTCCCCGTTCTGAGACTGGAAGTCCAGTTCCTGACACCAGCTGTTGCTCTGCAACTGGCACTGGGTGTGGCCAGGCTCTGGAGGTATCCCTGGGTGGCACCTTGTTGATGGTGGCAATCATATGGCTCCACCTTATGCCATCGCTCATACTAACATTTTGCTGAAATGGACCTAGCAAGACATGAGCAAATGTTTCAGGATTACCGGATGGTTGGCTCGTCCTCCATCCATATCAGGCAAAACAACTCTATCGTTCTTTAATTTTTATTTCTTAGGTACCTGTGTTCCTGGCAGTTCTTGTTTACTGTTTACTTATCTGAAAGGCAGAAAGAGGTGGGCATTGTGGTGCAGTGGTTCAGCTGGGACTTGAGATATCCACATCCCATAATGAAGTAAGTGCTGGCTCAAGTCCTAGCTACTGCACACATCCTTCTGAGAGTCTGCTACTGCACCTAAAAGGCAGTGGGTGACGGCCCCAGTACTTGGATTCCTGCTACCCATGTGGGAGACTGGGATTGAGTTCGTGTTCCTGGCTTTAGCCTGGCTCCAGCCTCAGCAATTGCAGGTATCTGGGGAGAAAACCAGTGGATGGAAGACTTCCTTCTCTCTGTCCCTCTGTCATTCAGTCTTCTAAATAAATAAATAAGTCTTTAAATGAAGAAGAATAAAGGCAGAGAAATATAGAAACACAGATTCCATGACTGACTCACGCTCCAAATGCCCTCAGGCCAGGAGCCAGGAATTCAATGCAGGTCTCCCACAAGAGTGTCAGGAACACAAGGACCTGAGCCATCACCCAGTGCCTCCCTGATGCCCATCAACAGGAAGCCGGATTGGAAGCAAGTGGGACTGGATCTGAAGCCTTCTGACATGGGATGCAGGAATCCTAAGTAGCATTTTAACCACTGCGCCCAAGGCCTGTCCTATGCTATAGTACTAGAAAAACAAACAACAGAAAGCAGTAACTGATTCTGAAACAGGCTGGGGTATAAGGCATCTGTACAGGAACCGGGTTAAACGATTTGAATGTGACGGGTTGAACTGTGTCCACCTGAAAGATGCTGATGTCTGGTTTGAAGGTTTGGCCCCCAAGTTCAGCAGACATTTAATCTTCCAAGTCATAGGTTGGTGGCTCAGAGAGGGTGCAAGCTTCGCCCCACCGCGGTTTTCAGAAGCAGGCCTCCTAAGTGCGCTCCCCAAGAAGTTCTCCTGAGCAGTCTGATTACAAAAGCCCAGTCTGATTCAGCCCCACCCCCTGCTTCCTGCCTCACCATTGTTCTGCTTTGTCACAGGCTCTGCATTGCCACTCTCCAGCCTCACCACCCACCATACCCCTGGGGTCCACCGACCTTGGACTACATAATGAAGACTCTCAGCCAAAATTCTCCTCCTTCCTGCCTGAGTCATCTGTGGCTGCCTTTTACTTACAGTGAGGAAAGCTGATCAATACAAAGTCCTAACACCCAGTGTATATGACTGTGACCTTATTTGGAAACAGAGTCTTTGTAAGTGGAGTTAAAATGAGATTTTGGGGGGTGGGCAATAATCCCACATGACTGATGTCCATACAGAAGGGGTCGTTGGACACAGAGACAGACACACACAGGGAGAAGTCCAGGTGGAGATGAAGACAGACATTGGAGTGATGCTTCGAGGGTTCAAAAACACCAAAGGTTCCCGGGAAAACACCAGAAGAGAGGAGAAAGGCGTGGAATGGGTTCCTCCCCTCAGCCCTCACAAGGAACCAGCCCTGCCAGCACTTTGATTTGGGACTGCCAGCCTCCAGAAGGGTGCAACACACTCACTCTTTGTAGCCACCCCACTGTGGCGCTTTGTAACAGTCACCCTTGCAACAAGCAGAGTCTAGCCTGCAGGAGCAGATAAGATGACACCAGCATTGTCTACACTACCTGTGACTGCTGTGAAAAATACAAACATCTACCAACCACTGTCTTTTGTGGCACTGGGTTACTCAATATTTTTATGTATTTAATAAATATAGATTTGCGCACACATATGACATTATGATTTCCTTTTATCCCAATTAAGATATATAGGAGAAGTGGAAGTAAGACACAGATAATTAGAAATTTGCAGCAAACTCTAGCAACTGTGTCTCTGGGACAAAGATTTTCACAGACAGAAAACTCAGGAGTCAAGTCTACAGTGTACTAAAGCCTCTGAGTTCCTTCACTTGTGGATTCCATCCCTCTATGCCTGCAGACACCCAGGGGGCAGGGAAGCTCTGGTCCCCGCTGTAGGAAAAAAGGAAGTCAGCATCCAGCACTGTGTCCAAGGCTTAGAGCTTTGTTGCAGCTGAGTCATGAATTGAACACTGGCTACTTCGGCAGACCTTTCACTGGCTTTCAACACGGGGAGTAAACAAACCCTACCCTCCTCTGTCCACACACACACACACACACACACACACACCCTCCCCTCGTCGTTACTCATCGCTGGTTCAGCCAAGCGTTCCAGGGGAAAAGAAGCAGGCAGCAGTAACTAGGAGACAAAAGCGGAGCTTGGAGAATCGTGTGTACACATGCTCTCAGGTCCTCTAACGCATCCTGTGCCCGTGATGCACACAGGCTGGGAAGCAAACCCTCTTCCTCCAGCAGAGGCCTTGCCTGGGCTGAATGGCTTAAAATACATGCTCAGGTGCAGCAGTGATTCCCACCAGGCCAGGGGATGCAGGCTGCAGGGTAGACAGCACCTCTGGACTCCAGCAGAGATGGGTAGGAATGCGTTCATTCTGCATTCTGCATTGCTCCGGGGTCAGAGCAGAGAGCCCAGCACTCCTCCAGGTTACTGAAGGAAGACCAAGGGTTAGGGTTCTGACCAACAATTTCCACCCAGCCTACCTCACTAAGTCAGGCATTGCTCTGAGTATAGTTCTAAGTTCAGTCTCATTTGAAATGTCTCAGATAGTTTTGGGGTGTGGCTTGATGTCAGAGAGGCTCCAAGAGATTTGGAGACAAATGAACCTCCTGGCATTGCCACTCACAGGGATGTGGTTTTAGGCAAGCTGCCCCAGTTCTAAGAGTAGCAGTCTTTTCCTGGGTAAAAACGTTACTTAGTCTCTGGTTTGCAAGGCAGCTGCACAGACAAAAGGATTCCGTGTCTACTCTGCACTTGTTGGAGACCTTTAGATGGCAGCCATCCTCCATAACTGGAGAGACTGAGGTAGCTCTGCTGCCCAATCGCTCTCACTCCCCAGGACCCTTCCACTGCAGGCTCACCCCCTTGGTCCACCCAGTCCCTGTGGAATAGCAGCCTTGAAGCTGGGCACAGGGGGCTTGAGGCCAGCAGCAGGGATCCCTCCTGCAGAGATGAAGTCTCCTGCAGAGCACTGAGACTTGACCTGCAGGCTGTAAGCAAGGAGATACAGATGCAGATACACAGTGTCTTTTCCACAGATAAAAGTTGGTAAACAGACTTCTGGGCCTGGCCTCTGCAGAGCCCCTGCCTTAAAGAGCCAGGAATTAGCGAAACAAAGGGGAGTTGAGCCTGCTGATCTCTGGAAGACCTCTGCACAAGCATCAAGAAGAACCAGGGAGTTCTCCTTCCCTGGGGCACAGGAGGCCTGAGTCTGGTGAGGTCAGGACCAGAGCTCTCTCTCTCTGCCTGCAGCCAGGGTGAGAGTGAAGGTTCTGTGAAAGTGTCCAGCTGCTGGACAGACTCTGATTGGGCAAAAGGCCGCCCTCCCTCTGCCTGAGGCCCAGGAAGCACTGCCAGCTAAAGGCCTGCTTCCTGGACCCCAGGGCAAGGGATCAACATTGGCGCCCTCTCCTTTCAAAACGTTCAGTCCCACAGAGGCCTTCCAGGGAGGAGAAAGTCCTATGTCAGGACACAAGGTTCCAGTCCCCCAGAATGCACCACACTCAGGGTGATGTGGATGTCAGGGCAGGTTCATGGGGGTGACAGATGCGCCACCCAGTGCCTGGGGGCAGCCTGAGCCTCTGCTGGCAGGAGACTTACGGGAAACCTCTGCAGCTTCCTCATGTTGCTGTGAACCTGATGCTGCTCTAAGAAACCATCTCGAAGAAGGTTGTTCTGAAATAGTCTTTAGAGGATTCAGACTGGGGTGGGCATTGGAGGCAGTGGACAACGTTGTCCCTTGCGGACAGCATTCCATGTGGGGAACAAGTCTGGCTCTGGTCGATGTGCACCCTGAGACACAGCAGGTGATTCCTCAAGTACTTGAAGTGGTCCCTGCCACTCACAAGGTAGACCAGAAAGCTCCTGGCTTTGTCTGGCCCAGCCCAGGCTGTTGCACACATTTGGGACTTGAACCAGGGGATAGAAACTCTTTCTCTCTCTGCCTTTCAAATACAGTAAGATGAACATTTTTAAAAAATGGTGCAGATCTCCCCGACCAGAGGAGTCCTGGACACAGGTCAGTTCTGTCCACAGTGCCTACATAGATGCCCATTGCAGAAAATCCAAGTCAGCTGGGAGAACTCACTCAGAGCCAGGAGTCTCTGGTACCCCAGAAAGGCTGCCTGCACCTGCAGAGATCCTTAGCATAAGCTGTTACATAACAAGGAGCCAAGGCCCTGGAGGCACAGGCCTGTAGCTCTGCCCTGGTGTTTACCTTCATTTGTATGGAAAGTGGTTTTGTACAAGAATGAGCCTCTGGGAAACAAAGTTTGCATCACAGATTAGATGACTGGGCTCCCTGCTCTTCCAAACAGCTCAGACAGGTGTCTGTTACCTAGCAGTGACTTATCACTGCGTAGAGACACAAATCTGAGCAGAAGCCAAGGCCAGAGTGAAAAGCACCAGTCAGTAAGTAAAACAACAACAGTAATAATAACAAAGACTTGATTGCTAACAAGTTCTAGGGAAGATAATTTTAAACCTGTACAATGAGATGATATTTTGTGCTTAGAAAGTGATTATATGACTTCATGGTTACTTAAGAATAAGAGGAACTTGAGAAAATAGTAATAATCATAGTTATTAGGACTTAATATTGTTGTCAGAAAGGAAACAGAAGTTTGTAATTGGCATTCGGGTTACAATGTGAATTAGGCGTCCTGGAAGTCTGCAGTGAGCAGAGACAGCTGCCATGATTCCATCACTCAGGACAGCACCCACAGAAAGTATCCAGGAGGGGGACATGGATGGCTGCCTCAGGAAGACAAGCCTCCCTCGGGGCTCATTACCTCTCCTGATTGTAGGCTGCCAGTCTAAAACAAAGTGTGTTACTCTTTAGCAATACAGACTTCCACAGTCACCCCTTCCCCTACCTCTCTTGGAGTCTCCAGTCTCTACCCTAACCTTGTTGTCCAAACTAGAGGGGAGTTCAGGGTCTGACCAGTGTCCTTGCCCTGCTAGCAAGGAAGTGTGCATCCTGTGGTTTAGAACCCTGTGCTCAGAGCGTTTTACACTCTCTGTGCAACAGAGCATGCAGGAACCAGGAGGCCTCCCTCCTGTGCTGCTTCTACAGAACCAGAGCTCCTCCAGTGCTGCTGGAAGGTGAAGCCTGTGGATCCCACCCTGCAGCCCTGCCTGTTCTCCTGCCTGACAGCTGCTGCCTGCTCCCCTCCCCTCGGGCGCTCTCTTCCCCTGGACTTAACCTCCTCATGGATCAGAGCACAGCTGAGCATGGCACCTGCAATGCAGACAGTGAGGGGAAGACACAGGCGCTCCCCTTCCCTGCCAGTCCAGGTCAACCACACTTTTCCAAATGACCTGATGGGAGGAGATGACCTTTCCTTCCACGTGCGGGATCCCCTGCTTGGCAGGAAGGTTCCAGGCACAGGGAGCCTTTCCTTGACCTCATTCTTCTTAGGGAGTCTTATGTGCACTTAAAGTAGGTCTGAGGCTCAGGAATGGGGTAAGAGGCCAGCTGTGACCACTGAGCTCCAGTGGAGTTGCTGTTGCTGGGGGTGCTTGCAGTGGGGGTGAGAGCGTGGATGCAGCAGGGTTTTGTAGCAGGATTTTGTTTCTCCGCCAGGATGCCCCACAACTCCTTAACACAGAGGTGAGAGAGACAGGCTGATCACATGCAGAAAGCTTTCCAACTGCCCTGCTATCAAAAAGGTTACAAAGTGTTTAGTGAACAGGCTCCTAATGCCTCCTGATGCCCGAAAGTGCAGCGAGTATTGACAGAGGCCACATCGGGAGAGTTATCTGGCGTGACTGTGTTAAGGCTGTGCACTTGCAGCAAGTGTGCAAAGCAGGTTGCTCCTGGTACTGCTGCCTAGCACGGAGACACCGTGCACACAGCAGTGGAAATGTGTACACAGGGTAGGGGATTTTTCATGTTCTGATTTCTTGTGTGCCTACATTCTAATTAGAGTTAGAAACACAAATGACGTTGTTACACACAAGCTAGTTAGATGTCACTGTGACAGCTACAGAATCCCTTTGGACATCACAGCTTTCGAGACTCTGAGCACCAGAGGAAAGACTCACCGTATAAAAGCACTTTATTTTCTGTGTTGAGAAAGGCACTAGTG